TGTTTGGAAGTTCGTTCGGTTCACTCTTACCCAACTTATATGCATATACTTTAGAAGATGTCCTTACTTATATGCTGTCCTTACTTATATGCATATACTTTAGAAGATTGAGTAAAGTTAGAGCTATAAAAAGTATATTTGAATGTGAATCTATTAAAATCGAAAGCCATTCCTTTTCTTCCGCAAAAAAAGTTTTTTCTGCTGTAATTCATAAGAATATTATGAATAAAAATAAATGATTGGTGGAGAGAATAAGGTGCGATGAAAGTTTTGAAAAGTAAATGAGAAATGCAAGAATGAAAAGAGAAATTTTGCTAATTTTAAACAAATAATGGATGTTACTTCCTGACGAAAAAATCACATAAGTGTGGTCATTCAAAATTTGAGACTGTGTGAAAATTGAGGAGAGAGAAATAAAAGGGAAGAGAGGAAGGAGGAAAGGGAAACGGTAAGGAAGGGGTAGGTGAACCAGTTTTTATGTGATCGCGAGCAATCACGATGACAAGCGGAAGAATGTGACAAAGGGGTCATGCAGATAGTGATTTCCTTTTTGAAGAAGCGTTATCTATTAGTTTACACCCTTGTTTATCTTTTACCTCTTTATCCTTTGCCCTTTGCCCTCTACTTTTTTCAACATTTCCACTGAAGTCTCGTGGTTAGCTAAACGAAACCTCTGAACTTCGACTGTAAATGTTGGGTTGACAATCTCCAAGTATTATAAAGTAATGAAGAATTTACTTCAATTAATTAAATAATGAAGTTAATACAAATATTTGCAGCGAAGCGAGGAAAGCAAAAAAAGATGGAAGACATTGCTGAAGTGTTGTTGAGAATTTGCAAAAGTTAAGCAAATCAAATTGCTCACCTTTTCCCTTAACAAATGTACTTTTAAACAAGTACCGTCCTTTCGATATCATGACTCACTCACCTATCTGATCGTCATTAGCTAGTTTGCTGTTGCATTAAACTGTATGTGTGAAACACCTGTCATTGCTGTCCAGCCCGTGACAATTTCGTGAAAAGTTTTGCTTTTATGCTCGAATATTATCACTATGAGCTGACAGATGAGTTATGTTAGAGATGATAAAAGATAAGAATTAAAAAATTTTGGTAGAACAGACGAGAATTACAATTACAATTTGATTAATACTAGTGTGGTGTAATACTTATATAAGTATTGCTGATAACGTTCATTTCTTCATGTCTTATCAAAGTAATCTAAATGAAGGTTTTTGTCAATAATCAGTGATTGCTATGACTTCTCGTATCACTCACATCTGTGCATCATACTTGAGTATTTTCTCTGTATAACAACTGATAATGTTTACAGGTGCATCAGTAAGCCTTTATCATACGTTAATAGGAATTATCAGTTTATGATCTTTAAGCTGAACAATACCTAATAGAAAAAAGTCATAAATATGTTGGAAATTTTGTGAAATTTGTCGAATAACTCAAAGCTCTTTGGCTACTGTGGGAAATTTTACGTTCCAACGTTTATCACAGTCAAAAATTTCTTGAAAAAATACAGGTTGAAATAATTGCTAATTTATTGAACAGATAATTGCATAAATTGGAGTGAAAATGAAGAAAGCCATTTCTCTATATAATCTTTTGCATGAAACTCATTTCTTCATCTTATCAAGTAAGTAATTAATATTCTATTTTTTTACCCATTTTTTTACCAATTTATTTATTTTACCCATTTTTTTCTTCTTTTTAAAATCACATTAGTTCGACGATAAATTAGAAATGAAAGCAAATTAATTTATCATTAACTGCTACGATAATTTGTGTTTTGGTAATTTTGAATTCTGTAATTGATGGTTATCAGCAATGATTTCAAATTTCAATAACAATTCATTTTATGAAATGAGAGGAAATTACGAGAGGAATTTAACACTAATACACTTTCTTACTCGATGTACTGTTAGATTTTCTCTTTTTAAAAAAATATTAAATGCACTAAAAAAATTTAATTACTGTAACCATTTTGACAATTTTTCTTCTCTCTCTCTCTCTCTTTTCCTCTCCTTTTCTTCTTTCTTTCGCTTTTTCTCAAAGAAGAAACAAATACTTGAAAATATTGACTTAGCTTTCCCTCCACAATACTCTCAGCTTATAGTTAGTTAGTTGTATTCCTAGTTAGAATTGAAATGACAACTTCATCAATTTCACCGCTAGGAAAAAAATAAAAAAAAAAGTGTACCTTCGAAAAAGAACTTAAAAGCATTTCATCTTTCGAACACAAATTTAAATTTCATACCATAAATTCCATATATTTAACTACTTGGAAAAAATGGAAAATTGTAAAGGATTTTTTCGTGTAAAATATTTGAGAAGAAAAATGTGTATTTTAATTTCGAATGCATCATTTATTTCTCGAAATGTAGATGTATTCATGGAAAAGATGTATTCCAGCATTATAATATGAATCAGAGGAGAATATTTTTAAAAACTGAATTTTTTGGAATTTTTCAATGTTTTGCCAGAGAGATACATATGAAATCAGTTAAAGCAGATCACAATTAGATGAATTGGACACTACCATATTTGGTCATTAATGTCACATTTGTGTCATAGAATATCCATCTGTAAAGCTTTCTTTTATTTTCAAGCTATTCACAATGTCGAACACTTCCATTTGATAAGATTTTGTAATTATTAATTTCATTACAACTAATAAGAAAATGCTAAATGACAAGAAATGAATCAAATGATAATTTATAAGTGATATAAAGAAAATGAATTATTTGAAAGAATGGAAATTTTGCTATCATTTTATCGCTGAGTTCAAAAAAGATGTACAGAATAAGACTAATTAGTAATTAATTCCAGCGTTTGCTGTCAATCTGATGACTAAATAAAGTTAAGGCTATCGCCTCATTAATGCAACTAACATATGCACGGCCACCTGTTGCATTATATCAATTATAAATATAAAATAGTAAGCATACAAACTAAAGAAATGATAAATTTATAAAAAAAATATTTAAGGTAATTAAAAAAAAGATTTGAAATTATCAGTTCTATTTATTTACAGTGTTTAAATGTGGGCATTGTTGATCGATTTTTCGTTACGGTACTAATTATCAAAATATCTTTTTAATATTTTTATCAAATTGAAAAAGCAATAATTTTAATGGATGGGAAAGAATTCAATTTTAGATTAAACTTCATTCAATATTATTAGCCTTTTGCTTTTTTATTTAACCGTCACGCCACGACCTTCAACACATTTGCGCCCCTTTTCACCATGTGCTTCTTTTGATAGTTGTAGTTTTTTGATTATTTCACTGCAACAAACTGAAATTTCACACATTTCATATGAATGAATTGCTTTTAAATAGAATAATGGATTAACAATATCATTTCAACCATCAACCATCAATCATTTGACTAACTGCGCTTGAAAGCCAAGTGTAGAACAAATATTGTTGCTGGATGAATATCCATTGTGATAAAGGATTATGTTTTCTGAAAATAAAACATAATAAATTTTACTGCAATAAGAAATATTTGTGTAATTAATTAATTAATTAATTAATTAATCTGTACTCTATTAGTCGATTCAATTTGGCGTCTATTTATCTTTTTAGCCTTGTTTACCTTCACGTGCATTGTTGTAATTTAATCGAAGAGTAATGGAAATTCATAGGGCAATTACATGAAGGAAAATAAATGTTTTACCAGGTAAATATGACTCTGAGATGGTAAGATTGTATCGCATTGCTGCTGGCCAAGTATTGTTAAATAGAGCCAAGTTAACAGCAACTGAAGTTCTAAAGAGGTCAAATTCAAGTGGAAATTTTGAAATACTCGAAAATTTCTTACAAATGAAACAGTAAATAATGAAATATTCATTGTTATCTTTTGAGTGAAGTAAAAAAACAAACAAAAATGTTTGTTTATAAATTATCCATAAATGTAAAGTGATAAACAAAAATTGCAATTATCACACTACTATCAATCAATTTCGTTGATCTTCCAGAAAGATAGGCGATCACAAGGACAGATAAACAGAAATAAAATGTCAACCAGAATGTTAAATGAAATTCATCCATTTCAGATCAATTTATACATTTGTTGTAAACAAAGGTGGCAACTTGTAATTCTGATTCCAGTAAAGTATACTTGGGTATGCTGTTTAATATTTAATATTTAATTGAAATAACTCCTTGGTCGAAAAAAAATTTTTCTAATTAAATGCTGAAATTAAAGTAAAAAGATCTGCAATAGATGAAAAGTATTTTTAATTTCTCTTTTCTAAATAACGGCCAATACTTTCTCATCGGTGCTTATGAAGTAGAGAAGTTGTATTTATTTAAATAAAAGGAAAAAGTTACCATTAAAGTGTTGATTCATATTTCACGTTGAATCTGACCTAATTAGTATGGCAATTTGTTTTCTTTAATGTCATTTATCTTGACCTGTGACCCGAAGCGGAAGAATCAAATAACTGCTTGAAACAAAAGCTAAGAAGTTGAATAAAATTTCAACTGATGCAAAGAAAAATTGCAGTACAAAAAAATTGCACTTTATTTCTTCATTCATTTCTCAACATTGAATTATATCTTGCTAAAAATTAAAAAACATAAATAATAGATGTAAATTTTATTAACAGATATAAAATATAAATTTAGAAAGAGAGAGGAAGAGGGAGAGAGAAAGAAAGGAAAAAGGAAGTGCAGTATGTACGAATATTCAAGTTTGAGTCGTTCGTTATCCATCCAAACTAAATCCGACGGTCACTAAAGTCAACAAAGTGAGTGGGACGACAGTCAAGGTGAGATGACCACTGTCCATCCAACAACAATAGCAATCGGTTCGACGACACTAGCTGCACAAATGCTACTACCATCATTGGTCATTGCTGAATTTGCCAGAAATGAGCGAAGTTTACGGGGCGCAAAGTGCTTGCATAATTTAGTTCCATCAGCTAATCACCACTGTTGTTTATTATGATAATCAACAAGTACAACTGAATTTTATTACAGAAAATGCGCAATCTTCTGAAGAATTGTTTGCTGCTTCTATTTCTGCTAATCATTTCGATAACTGATGTCAAAGGAGGATTTCAAATTATTTGCGCAGATAAGTCACCGCATTGTAAACGGAGAAGTGATATGTGTCAAAGTAATGCATTTCACAGTGTCATGCAATCAGTTTGTAAAAAGTAAGTATATTTTATATCGATATCATTGCATCTTTCTATATATATCTTACTTCTGTCTGTTTAGCCGGATTATTTTTTCGGAACTAATTAGCATTCATACAGTAATGGATGAGAGATTATCTCTTCAATTTAAAAAAGCACTACGATTAATACTGGCTTATGTTTTCCTGATTATGTGAATGGTTTTGAACAGTAATCCGTAAATCAGAATCAGTTTGAAAGAAAGAAAAGCGATGAATTTAACATTTCACTTACTTGCCGGTTTATGAATCACTCAGTTTGTAGGACGTGCGGTCTGTGTGAAGATAATCCGAAAAGTGACATTCTGGATCAGTACCGACATAAGAAAGAATCTGATATAGGTCTGTGATACTATCACTACTACTACTACTGCTACTCAACTAGTTCTAATTAAGCGATCGATTCATCTCGAACTTATTTTTTTAAACTAATTAAGCACTTTGTTAATTGTTCTGAGATTATATATGTATGTATTGTCTTACAATAATATTACATTTACTTCAAAATTAGATTAGGAATTACAGGGAATGTCATAATTCATAGAATAAAATGGAATGGTACGATATTTAGATCATTCCAGTAAGATCATACATTATATTTAAAATCATAAATATGCATGAATTATCCGTAAGAGTATGCTTGATTCTGGCCATCCGGTAAAAAGTTACTTTAGAAGTTGTTGATGTGGAAGATGGTGAAGATAAAGATAATTTCGAGTATTCTGAATCAGAAACAACTACTGATCAAGTGGAAGAAGAGGGAGAGGGAGAGGGAGAGGGAGAGGAAGAAATTGTGGAAGAGTTACTGGCTACATTGTCATCCACAGTTATGCCACATTCCGTAACAAAAAACTGGAAACAAACTGTATGCGTTGATTCATCAACAGATTGTGAAGGTATTCGAATTTAAGTATTCGAATTTAACAAGTATTTCTGTAAAATTTCAATGCATTCAAATTTATCGAATTCCATTGTACTGATTCTACTGCTTCATTGCTATCATATTTTGAGATATGGAAATTCATCAAATAATTTAGGCAAACGATATTTGTGCAACGAACGAATGTATGCATATCTGATGCGTAGAGAATGTCCAAGAACGTGTGGCTTATGTCACTCAGGTTTGAACGTCAACAACGTCAGTTAGACATAGAAATTATAAGTAATGTGCTGAAATTTGAGGTGAAGTGGCAGCAAATAGAACCTTAAATTACTTTCATTTTTATTTCAAGAGTTTCAAATAATATATTGTATTGAAGATAATAAAAGTAAATCAATTCACGCACTATTGAAGTTAGTTTAGAAAGTTACTTCGTCGTTTCATAATTCGCAAACTCTACAAGGATTTTTATAAATTTTTGCAATACTTTTCACAATTATCAGTATCGTTTGTTCCTATCAAATCGGTAAATGAACAATTCGCAGGTTATCGACCAGGAACACCCAATCAAATCGTTGATGGCATAACAAAGGATGTGACAAGGTGTCGAGATGTGGCACCGGACTGCAACCAGTCACTGTGCAACCACCGGACTTACCGGCCACTCATGCAGACCGTCTGCAAGAGGACCTGCTCGTCGTGTCACCTGGATGACACTTAAATGTGTGATACTTTCCGAGTTTCAAGCTACAAAACTGAAGGACTGGAAAACCTCAAAATTTAGCATTGAGAAGTAAAGTAATTAACCAAGCAAATTCAACTAGTAATTGCATTTTATCTGAACTACGACAATGCGAAGAGGACGGACGGATAAAAAAATTAGTTCATGATTTTTTAATTATTGTTTGATTGATAACATTTGCTCGAATTTATACTTTCTGCATTTAGAATTTCATAAATGGAAGTGCTTAAATATTGAATTCAATGTTGACATCTAAAAATTTAAATCCTCTTCTTCTAAGACATTCCTCAAAGGCTAATTTTTTCCATCCAGCTGAATTCAAAACATTTCAAAGAAATTTTAAAGAAGGAATTTACTATCATAGCAACATATAAAATATCAAAATAACAAGAAAAGAGAAATGTCTGCATATCTCAGTTCAAAGAAAAAATAGCAAAAATAATCAAACATTAATTTATGATTTTTATAGAAATTTGAAAAAAAAAAAAAAAAAAAAGAAGAGGAAGGACCGATATTTCCTCACGAGAGGATGATCAACTGATATAAGCAATAACTATAAAATGCACATATCATTGCTTTGTAGAAAAAGATTGCTCGTTGTTTGTGGAAATGACACAAGCCATATTACAGAAAAGTATTCATTTAAAACAAAATAAAGAATTTTTAATGTTTCTCAAAAATATTCTCTCTCTCTCGCTCTCTCTCTCTCCTCAATTATCTTTCCCTTAATATAACACTTGTAGAACGGATTGTGACATTGTAATAGATGCTAATACTAAATTTTCTTTACATTTCCACTTTCAACTTTAGTTTTTATTAATCTAAAAGAAAAACAAACAAAAAATTGAGATTTATTGACATAAGGTACTCACATATATGAGATATACAGAAAGAAACGGGTGGCAAAAAAACGGTGATAATGATAATGATGATGATGATGATAATGATGGTGATGATGATGATGATGATGGTGGATGATGACGTGATGATGATAATGATGGTGGATGATGATGATGATGGTGGATGATGATGATGATGATAGTGGTGGTGGTGACTTAGTAGCAATGAATGCAATAAAGGTAAAATTTAAAGAAAGCTTTAAAAAAGGCTGAAAGTTGTGGCGGTTTGCCAGAAGAAAATTGAACTTTCATACATTAATTTTCAAATTTTCAATCAATAAAAGAACATTAATGAGAAGAAAGAAACAAATTTTGGTATGTGTTCCCTTCAGGAAGAGATGTGAAGAGCAGACTTGTGTGGATGGAATAACTCAGATAAAACAGATTTGATATCTTCGAATATGAATCATTTAATAGAATTCAATCAATACAACGGAAAATCATGCATACTTTAAAATCATAATCAAAACGAAAAAAAAAAAAAGAATTTTTTAAGTGGGCAGAATGAAGAACTTCGAGGCACACATAAGTAAGCAAATATTGACGTATCAGTAACAGAAAGTTAGATCAAAACATATATTTCTAAATACTACTAAAAAATTAAACAATTCCAAATTTTATAAAACAGGAATTGATTTCCGGATCGTTATTTTCGTCATTATTTTTTATTGCTCAATGGCAGTGATTCAAGAACAGAACTGAAAGAAAGGAAATGCTGTGATCACTGTCTTCCCATTATTTTAATCCAATTCGTTATTATAACCTAGGATTGGTTGCTGTTGTGACATATTTTCGTTGTAACCAACATTTGTTTGTCGCTTCTTTCGTCTGCAAGTGACACACACATAAACAAATTTCAATGCAGCACTCACCTGGCTTACCTGGCTTACCTGGCTATCTATCTATAGCTGTAGAGGTAGTATGACAGTTCTCTTCTGTTTTCACTAATACTTATTACAATAGTCAATGAATACAGAATGTCTGACTTATATAGAAGTGTAAACAAAGTAAAAGAAATAAAAATTTCATAAATGAATCCACTACCTTTCGTGTTTTTCCACATTGTACGTTTTGTAGCGATTGAAAGCTGAACATGCATAAATGATGATGAATAACAATAACAATGTGACAATGATAACTATAAGTGGATAAATCCATCTATACGAGCCTAGAAAATTAGAATTTAATAAGCACAAATAAGCTACAATAATATTTCATCAATGTTTACTTTGGAATTTGAAATGATAAACTGTTAAACTACAGCAAACATTAAAATTGCAAATACGAATTGCTCAGAATCCAATAAAACTATCTCTTTTACCGATTTAAAAATGAATTTTTTAGTGTAAGCTAGCATTGAAGTATTTTTCTGAAATAAATTCTTATTAGTGTCGCAAAATAAAAAAGTGAAATAACTGTAAACAGTTAAATTTTAAAAGTGAAAAGTTGGCGTAGATGAATACTACATTTGATAGTTTATGTTCACAATACTGCACTACTATCTTGGCTTGCGATAGAAAGAATTACAGATTAACAAATCAACAAACAGATTTTTTCCTAACTACTATTTCATCTCTTCTAAAACAAAACAGATTACCGGATATACAGATTACCGGAGACGGATGATGTCAACACGTTTATTTTCAGAATTAGCCAATGATATGTTAACTTTTTAGGAATGCTTAGCTGTGTCTTTTTAAATTGAATTTCAACATAAAAAAGATTTGATAAAAACCAGGTTCAATTCCTTTCTCTTTCTCTGAAGAACACAAACAATGTCGTTAACTACCTACAAATTTGGAACATTGGAAAAAGATACATTAATTTTTCAGTTTTCCCACTTTGCTTCTCTCTTGCTGCCATAAAAGTTGAAGACTTCATCTTCTGATATAAATTTTAGGTTTCGATTGACTTACTGCACGCACCAATGACAAATATTTGGAAGTTACTACCATATAACTTCATTTTTGGAATAACTAACAAAAAGCAACTAAGTGATATTTCGAAAAGAAGGCGATTTTTAAAGATCTAAATTCCCCATAGATTTATTTTAAAAATAAATGTTAAGAAATTACTCCCCCAAATTATTTTCTTTCTTTCTATGCTGTAATTTAGAGTTGCTAAATCAATCCTCTCATTCCTTACTTTCAACAAATTTTTAATCTTTTTTCATGTCATTCTTACTTTACATCAAATTTCGCCAATCAAATATTTTTAATTTACATAAGTGATGTAAGAAGATTTGAGGGAATACAGTTAAAAACTTACTTTATTCTCGTTGACTTTAAGGAAATAAATTAGCCTCAATGCTTGAATTACTAAACTAAGAGTACACAAAAAAAACTTACTTTTCACCTTAAGTTCACGATCCAACCGTGACTCCCATAGGATATTTTTGCCATCAATAAATATGGAAAATGAATTTTGCGCGACACATGAATAAACTCCTTCATCATCAAATTCCACTTTTGCAATTTGCAAATCCCTCTCTAAGAAGGTTATTTGCTCCGTCGATGCTATAACAATTTGCACTCCAATGGGTAAAAAGTTGTAAGTAATTAAAAATTCCTTTAACAAATGCATTTAATGTGTCAGAACTATAAAGTTAAATTGTTTTTTCATTTTTTCAGACTACTGAAATGTTTGTTTCTGATCAACTTGAAAACCAGTTTTTCATTTCTGATTGTGGCAATCACCGGTGAATTCTGACCGATATCTACGACCACATAACTCACCAACAGGTATATCATTTTTATACCACTGAATAGTTGGTTCCGGAAAGCCTCGTACTGGACAACTCAGCGTTACTGTTTCGCCTTCCGTTACCCTTAGAACTGAAGCTCTAACACGGAAATGATTGTCACCCACTGCATCCAATATTTTCGAGTGATTCACATGAAAGATTGGGCGCACTGTAATGTGACACACAAGAAATTATTACCAAGCAGTAACATTTGTAAATCTCTTTTAATGCTTTATTAAAAACACCAAAGTGGAACAGAAAGTTTTATCGAATCTTTCCTTTCTGTGAAAACTTTTGAGAAGAACTAAATTGTTCCAACAAAAAACTAACTAACTATTTACAAATAACCATCCCCACACTAATTCATTTTCTTCGGTGGTAATTTCACAGCGATATCTTCCAGCACTCAAAACTGATGTATTGCCAAATTCTAAAATTGCCCGTGTCTGATTGTTAATAAGCGCTGGGAAAACTTCCTTGTCTAGATCTCTTATAAAGTGAGCTTCTTTGATAGGTATTAATTGTTGAGTTTGATTGGACATTGCTTGACACCTAAAAGCAGTTATTCAGTGAAAATATTTAGATGTTGCACATTTCAAGAATAAAATCAAACTTTTATTTCATTCAATTTTATCTTTAAAGGAATGGATCCTGATCGGTTGACAACATTCCTTTTCTAATGAAATTGAAATAGGCAAAAAGCAAAAAATTCCAAAGTTTTATTTTTATGGAAAACCACAGAAATAGTTTTTGTGTATAATTTTAATTACAGATCTGCAATAATTATTTGCAACATAAAAATTATCCGATGAAATAAGTAGAAAAATTTCAATCTACCACAAATTGGGTACATTGGCCTTGAGAGGATGGTCATCACTGGATTTTGCCGAAGTAGCATTGAAAAATACTGCCAAATTACCCTGCGCAAAGCTATTACTACCAGCAAAGATTGCATTGCACCAGTGACCTATCAAGCGACAATTATTTATGGAAATGAGAATCAATCAAGAGTTATTGCTGATGATGATAAATTCGTCAACAAAATCATGTCTTTATAACCAGTAGTAAACATATGCTAAAATTGTTGATAACAATTCTGCTACTTCTTACTTTTATATGTACCACTTGCGAACTACAAGCCAAGCAAATAAACTCTCGAATATTCCCGACACTTCTTCTATAGAAAACAAGTAAATGGAATGTTGTACACTGTTAAGCATAATGTGATAGAGCATGCTACACAAATATTATCAATTCTTGGCATTTATTAATTTAAATTATTTGTTAATAAAGATTAAAAAAAGAATAAGAAACTCACCGAAGAAAATGACTAAGGT